ATTCCCTGATTTCGCATAACGACGACCATTTCGCCCCAGACATCTTTGATCTTTCTGTTTGGATCTCGGAAATCAGCTTGTCGTTCACTGTAAAGTGATAGCAACATCTGGGTGTATCTGGCATTCCACCTCTTTTCATAAGCTGGTGTTTAGGTAGTGTAATTGTCAGATTTGGTTAAATCTTAATAACGTTTTACTTACTTTTAATGTCCATTGTTTACAATAGCAACCCTCGTTCAATGACAAAATAATATTGTATCGTTTCCTAGGCTGCACATTTTAGCGACGGCGTGGCTATTGTTATCGCGGGGGGAAAGTATCATGATCCAAGCAGCTGGTTGCGATATGCGCCTATCGATAACTATCGTTTAAATAGTACAAATTGGAGATGTGATTGCGCTTTGGTAAAATTATTATTTATTTTGATAGCTTATAACCAAAGCACTAAGCTTTACTTTAAATCTTGTGAATATCATCATTACTAACCTTAAGCGGTACTATAATTTGTATTTTAAGAACCATTATTCCTGTGGGCTAGTAGCCCTAAACTCTGTTTCCCGCGGAAACCTTTTTTGACTTTGGATCATTTTCGCTTCTTTATAGATTTCTCAGATATCCGCCACAGTTCGATGAAATCTTATAAATATTTGTTTTTAAAAATAATTGTACCTCACGGCCAAGCCATTAAAAGTCATCCACAAATTACTAAAGAAAACACACAGTGTTAGATCAAAATTTTCTGTATAGAAAAAAATGTTACTGCCATCTGTTGTAAGAAAGCAGAGTTGAGTTAGCAAGTTCCAGTAACCAACACTAGATGTCGCCGAATAACTTGTGTAAACAAAGTGTAAAATAAAATAAATTGCAAGGAAGGGAAATTTTCTTATACGAAAAAAATGTCTAAAATTCGAATATCACTTTATTAAGTGCAGAAACAGTTATGTGAACTAAAGGAACACATGCCTAAAGTTTTTAAAACAGTAGTTAAATATAAATATAACTTTATGTCATTTTTTTCCCTTAATTAAATTGAATTAACTATCCAGTTAAGTAGAATTTACAGGCAATGAAAGTCATATCGTGAAATCGAATTCAAAACCAATTTCCCTTAACCCAATCGAGCATGTCCACCTAATTTCCGCTCAAAATAAAAACAAAATTTACATATGCACATTGTTTCCAATGTTTTGGCATATTTTCCCAGAAACACCTGTGCTTCCAGGCGAATGTGTGAAAAAGTTGGTCGGAAGATCTCAAGAAGCGCACTTCCGTTCTGGACTAGATAATAACCGTGAAGGTAAAAAAAAACAGTAGTACTTTATGGTAGCACTGAGCAGTTGCAACCCCAAAAAGTGACTAGGCTGATTTTCCATAACTTTTTGGTAGGGGGTTCAGCGGAGCGCAACCTTGTAGGAGGTGTTCGGACCCTACAGACCCTGTATTCAGAGGGCTCGAAACCAGAGTCAAATAATTGTTGCGCAACTAGGCGAAGCCAACTCACTGATTTTCCCATGAGGAGTCGGACCAAAACGCGATCAGCGGGGCATAAAATGTGGGAAAATCAACTCTTAAATATGATTGACAATGGTTCGGGGTCTCTTTTTTGATTTTTGTTCAACGGTCTGCCCATGGCAATGGCTTCATTATGTTGAACAGCTCCCACAGTAATAACACTTTCGGGCTGACTGCCTGAAAATTGCACTTCGTGCAGGCGGATTTCTAATTCACTTCGCTTAAATGTGTGGCGCTGCCTTTGGGTGCCAAAAATCTCAAGTCCGCAGTTAGTTGCACTGTGGTAGCCAAGGTAAGATCGCTAAACAATCGACCAATAACTTGTTCTTTATATTTCATGGCTTATATTTCATCTAAACACTGAAGGAAAAGGTATTATTTGGGATTGTTATTGAGGACTTTTCTGAAGTCCAATAAAAATCACCCAAACTAGATGGATTGTATCACAAATACTACCAGAAAAAAAGTTCAAGGAACCTTTTAAATGAAAATTAAGAAAATGTAATTAAAACTCAATACTCCTTAATATTGACTTAAATAATGACTTATTGCTTTTTTTAATTCTGTAAAAAGATTAACAGATACAAATAGATTTTATAGATACAATTTAAAGCTTTTAAAAGCGGAATGGTATTCAATAAATCGTTCTTTTTGTTTGTTATTTTATCTATAGAGAAACTGTAATAATATAAGTTACTTCAACGTTTGAGGCACCTTAATAGCATTATTAAGCTCATATCTATTTCCTCAGTGAAAACTCAAACTGGAATCCACATAATTTAAGCTGCACAGTAGACAAGATCGGTTCATTGGGAGTTCAATGTTCGCGGGTCACGACTTTGACTCCATCGGGCAGACATAAATCGGAGCAGCCAACAACTTGATGCGGGGACTTTGACAGCCTGCTCGAGATCTGCGATTTCCTAGGTTTTAAGACTGTATGCATCCCAGGCAGACCCAGGCACTTCAATCAATTGACGGAAGTGCCTTTTTCGCCAGTGATCATGATCATGATGTATGTTATTGGCCCCGAACCCAGAGCTTGCCCATTTGCTATTTGTCAAATTTTCATTAGATGGCCATAAATTGAAATCACGCGGCATTTGTTTTGGCCAGCACACAAATAAATTTCGCGCTGCCGCACTGATTCTCACGATCTCAGGATGCCAGGTGATAGGCAGTGGAGGGGCATGGTGGCACTAAAACTTTCTAGCTGTTCACACCAGCTGGTCTTTCGATCTCAGTTTTAGTCTTGGCCAATCGCCACCTGCACTTGGGAGTTTGGCAGATCTGCCAGAGGTCTTACACTCGAAGAAAGAATTATCTTAATATTTTTGCATCATCGAATTCAAAATTCAAAGTGGACCACCATCCTCAAAAGAATGAAATGGTGTAAAACTAAAAAATTGAACACTACACAATATTTTCTTGGAGTGCATCAATTGGTGCTAGAGCTGGATCTGAGATGCTGAACCTGGTCCCCACACGTTCGAGTATGTTGCTTGGCTAAAAGCGAATTCCAGTTGCAAACCCATTTTTGGCACGATCGCTGAGCACAAACCTTTTTGGGAAGAAGCCGCCACAAGGAGCCTGCGACTAGGAGCATTGATTTGAAGTTTCATTTGGTATTGGGTATTGGGATTGCTATTGCTATTGCTTTTGCTATTGCCGATGGCCAGACGGCGGGCAGAACGCACACGTGGATACGATATGGTATGGTATATGGTATATGGTGTATGGTATATGGGATGGGGGCTTGCGTTGGGGGCCTTCATGGGGTTGTGGCATGTGTTTCGGGGAGTGCCCAGGGGACTGCGGGCAGTGAGAGTTCGCAGGTGTGTGCTGCTGTATCTTTAGCTTTGGCTTCGGCTCTGGACCTGGATCGTGATTGCTGGCAGTTCGGCTTTGACTTGGACGCGGATTTGGACGCCGGGTATCCAGCTGCGAGAACGCACCCACTTGGCCGGCACACACTCGGACACACACTCGGACACACACCCACAATCAGCGGGTCCAGACGAGACCAGCGGCAAAGATCGTGTTCATGTGGTGGCTTTATGACCACTCAGAAAAAAAAAAACAAGAGGACAGCTAGAATTTTAGTTAAGTTTTGCATCATTTTCCAATGGGAAAATCTTTTTTTAATGATGTTATAGTATTTAATGACTTTTTAAAATGTTAGCAAATATGTAATCCTAAATAAAACTAAAGAAGTAAGTTAGTATGTATTATTCTTGTATATTGAAAACTTCTGAAAGTTTAAAAGTGATTGCGTTTTTAGATCCAGAACTAAGAAATCCTGATGGAAACTTAATTTTTGTAATCAATATTTTTTCAAACATTTCTACCCTTCTTGCTTACTTTTATATCTTGTTAAATATTAATTTATTAGATTGAAAAACGTATTAACGGTTTCAATTGTAAATCGTTCTATTAATTAACAGATTTACTAATTTTTTCAAGAGTGTATCGCCAGCATACATATATGGGAATGGGATGTTTGAGCTTGATATTCGTTTTGTGTATCTCAGAAAAGCAGTGTGTCCGTGCTGATTGATTAATCATTGCCGGTAATTTGATTTTGTGCCTTTTGTGCGCAGTTCCACCGTTAGACGGGCGGCCAGGCCCATTACTATAGCTCTCAAGCCATATACTCTACGCTCCGATCCGCTCGACAAGCCTCTTTCAGCGCTTTGATTGATTGTTTCATTGCATTTTGAGCACTGGGCTTGAGCTTGGCATATTCACCTGGTTGGTTGCCAGTCATACACTCGTGAAACTGCGAGACACCCGACATGTGTTCCCTGCATCTCCGCCTGACTTATGGATTTGTTTCTTTTCTGGCCCCTCGCTTTTCTGCATGTCAGCTTAGCTGTCAAAATCCTTGAGCCGACTACAATGTCTAAATGGCTGGCACACTTTTGATTCGGCTGATTAACAACTCGGCAATGGAGCTGCCGTTTGACAGTTTTTTTTTCGCGGAGAAAATCGGAGAAAGATCGATGACAGTTTTGGCTGATCTTCAGCCTGGCGGATGGCCATTTATTAATCTATTTACTCAAGGCAATGAATAATGCAGGTAATAATTGAATTAAAAATGTATTTACAAAATTAAAGCTGATTGATGACAGCGGAGTAGCCATGAGGTCATTTCAGAGAATTTTTTAAAGTTTACATTAAAGCTTTAGCAAAATGCACATGACTGTTTTGGCTATTTTAAAATCAAATAATTTTTAATATTATTTTGCAAACAATTTTAATAAAGATTTAAAATGGTGATAAATACTTTTAAGAAAGTCTTTTATACGACTGTTCTAAAATAAGTAGAAAACTATAAAGCTGAAATATCCCATGGGTCTTAATAGGCCTAATCGGTTAGTAATCAATAACAATAATATGCCCACATAATCTAGGTTCAACTCATGGCTTTTACCCACGGGGCAAAACAGGAACACCCATTTTAAAGGCGTTTCCCCGTCGATAAAGAGGGATCCTTTGTGGCAAGTCAAGCGGAGGACAAAGGCGTTCGCTGACTGGAAGGCGTCGAGTCCTGCCTCTAAACACCTGGGCCCTGGATGAATGCAAATATCTGGGAAATCACAATGCGGTGAATCACATTGTGACGTCACAATGTCGCAGTATGTCAGCGACTCCTTTATCGAGATCCGGGCAGATGACAACCCCTAATTGAGGTTGCCGCTTGCCACAGCCCCTGTCGGTTTCTTCTTCAACACGAAGGACGTTCGCCAGGACTCCCCAGGCGGCGCAAAAAACAATCGCGAAAAAA